CTGACCACGGAATATGCCTGAGGTTCATTGCCATCATGGCAGGTCTTTGGAAAGAGCGGATTGCTGCGGCTTGCCTTCTGCCGGAGTCCTCAAGGCCCTAGACAAGCGCTTGAAGGGCTCTCATGGAAACACGCGGGCGACAAAGTACTCCCTCGCTTCACGTTTGCAAGCGGGCACGGTGTGCACATTTGGCGGAGTCAAGAGGATCTGGTGGGGCACCGACTTGTTAAATACTCGTGGACCTTGGAAGGATTTGAGCCACCAAAACCCGTGTTAGTAAGGGACAATCCCAGCCATAAAGTGCCACGACCGCCTTCTTAACTCTCTACATGGTTCTAGGTAGACCACTTTAATACCGGGTTTGATTATGACTCATTTTGTTTGGCAGGGATCGATGTTGGCGTGACGATCAAGGTCGATGGTGGAGACGATATGTCCAAAGTCGGCAACTACGAGCCGTTGATCGTCAGTGTTGATGATTACCTCTCGCTGTATTCAGACGCCATGGGCAGCAGGAAATGTGCCCACAAGTCACAAGTCGGTCTTTGGCATTTGCAATCTGAATGACACGCCGATAACCGTGATGACACATCAGACCGGTGCGATTTGGCTGCTCGTAGGCTTGAGGATAGCCCTTGGAGGTCCATATACTTGAGCGCCCTGTTGTTTTTGCCTCACGTGGTGTGCATTTGTCTACGCTTCTTGAGGGGGTTTTGAAGGGACAACACGGGGCAACCACCAATTTGTTGGGGGTTCCCTCAACAAACACAGACAAGCTCCAGTGCAGCTTGGCGTTCCAGCTCTGGACTCTGTCGCTTTGCAGGCCGCATGATGAGGCAGGGCCTGAGGGTTCGATGCTTTATGGTTTCCCTGGAAGAAAAACACCCGCGCCCAAAAGGGGCGCCCTCAACCAATAGACGCATGTGTGTGTGTGTGTGTGTGTGTGCGTGTGTCTGTTTTGGCAGACAAGCAAAACCAGGCGCACACACACACACACACACACACACACATGGGTGTTTTCAGCCGTAAACCTCTCCTGAGACACCGTTACGGTTCGTCTCTTTGTGTCTATCCTTCATACTCAACCAGCAAATTTGTTTTCTCGATGTTCCGACACCTGCACTGAGTCGTGTGAGCAGAATCAGCCCTACATGAGACCTTGCGAAGGGCAGCTTTTTGCTTCGCCATGGCCGCCATGGTCCCAGTTCAGCGGCGCACCTTGCCTGCAGCTTGTTTTCTGGGGCCTCTAGAAATGGTCACCCAAACATGGAATGGGTTCCTTGATTTCTGTCTTGGGTGGCCCAACATGTACTCGAATCCAACGATACTCGAACATCCAAGAGTGAAGATGTGCAGCATTGCTAGCATTCCACGCACACAAGCGTAAGACACCAAATCACGGTGGACCCTCGTTCCCTGACCCTTCGCTTCTCTTGGAGGCCCCGTTGAAAGCGAACGCTGGCGCCTCGCATGCAGTGTCCAGCTCGGACAGCGAGGCCGCGGGGCAAGAGGTTCACATGTCACGCGTTGCTTCGAACTGACAATGAAGCTTACTAGAGGCCATCCCATGCCTGTCATTATACTCTAGACTCCCATCAATAGATTTGGGTAGCCTCCCATATCGGTTTTAGCTGCAGTGTTTGGTGGGATTGGACCACGGGGCGGGCCGTAGTGAGCCCAAAGGGGACCCTTCGAGTACTGTGTATAACAAAGTCATTGATGGCAGCTAGGGGTATAATTTTCCAAAACCCCAAATTAAATATCCCAATACTATAGAATTAGAAATCGCCAATAGTCGCCAATTCTGAACAAACAAATTGTCCTGCCGACACCAATTCTACAGCTAATCAACACTAATCCAATGCTAAACCGATGCTTAACCTATCTTAAACTAATTCGAACCCAGCGCGAATCCAAGCAATGATCTAGATTTATGCTGGTTGGGTGTTGCTTACTCGCAAATTGCCATTTTGAACCTTTTGTCGGGCCCGGAAAGCTTGTGCCCCATTTAGACGACGTTGTTGGGGCAGACATGTACCCTATTGATAACTAAGGCGAATAAAACAAGACTAATGTTGACCCCAGATCAATAAACCCCCGTTCGATTTCTAAGGGGGTGTCCCCTTTTAGTGGGCGGTCATCACTTTTGGAGGGAACACCGTCGGAACACCCCCCTAATAGGACAGGTTTATTTACATAGAGGGCGCTCTTTGCGATGTGGTTCTCAGCTGCCGCTCCTCTCTTTTTTTATCCGGGGTGAACATTGCGGCCGTTTATCTCTTGTGTGGGAAGTGTTTTTAAACCGCAGGACTGGCAGAATTTGGTCTTGGGATGTCAGAGATTGCTCAAATCGGCACCCCACATTATCACCAGCCCCTGTTCTTGCTACCCCAAGTGTTTCAAATGTGAAGTGTACGTAGTGAAACCCGAGCCCTTCACCTCTCTCCCACTCCTTTACTTTGCTCTTCTGCTTCTCCTGCTTCTTCCATTTAAGTTTGTTCTGTCCAAAAGAAACACACATTCAAACTCAAGACGGATAACATTGTCGTCCGAACCATCAAAGGGCACAAGTGAGTTGCATTCAACACAGGCGGCGGCCGAGGCTCTTCAATCTTGTTTCATTTTGCAGGCCCCTGGAAACACAGTTTTCAACATCGAGTTTCCCACTTCAAGTGAGTTTCCTTTACGTGGGGTTTTGTTTAAGACAATTGGGAGCTCAGCCCCCCGTATGCTGGGACCAGCTGCCCATCTTTCTTCCTGAGTTCCTGGGCTTTAGACCTTTTGGAATCCTATGCTGGGGAGTAATGACTTCGCAAGAAAGCTGGCGGAGTAAGCGTGTTTCCCTCTCCAAATTGCAGGGTTTGTACACTAGAATGGGACATCACATCCCCCGTATCAACCAGAGGTTTATTCACGGGTTCCCCTTCATGGTCTTTGGGCCTTGACGCACGTCTGCCATGGAAATCGGAGTCCCAGCGCGCCAGGACGCAGATATTTGCGCCGTCACAGTGTGAATCAGCGAACGCGCAAGCGCGGCGATCCCGCAAAAGGTGAGCGGGCTGCATCCGAGAATTTACTAGCTGGTTACTTCGAAAGGAGCCGCTAGCTGGGCGTATCCAAATTTGCCTTGATCTAAGGAAGTACAGGAGTTCTGCAAGGAGATGTTAGTTTGATCGATGGCCAAGCCTTATGTACGGGTAAGCATTTGGGCGGCCTCCCTTTGGATTATTTTTTTCAGGAACCAAAACTTGTGGGATGGGAGCGACACTCTGCCGCTGTTTGCAAAGCGCACTTGCCTTACCGCAGGCCAACCTAAACACCTGTTTAATTGGTTTAGCTTAGTTTGGGGAAGACGCGTCCGACCCACCCAATCACCTCTTTTGTCGACTCACGGGCAAAGAGAAGCGTTTGTATGTCACGGGTCATCAAAAAGCTAAGGCAACCCTGTCTTCTTCTGCTTGGGCTTCGTGTCAGGTGGACGAGAATATCCTAAGGAATGCGTCAAGCAACGATCAATACTCACAGTCATTTTCTTAGTGCGGAGGAAGAACTGGGACACACTCGACAGTCACCAATTTCCAGCACAAAGTGGTGGAAAGGGTTGTTTTCAACGTACCATGTAGGGGCGCACAGACTGTGCCAGTAGTGTGCTCAACTTGTCCATTGGCAGCACCCGGGTTGCATGTGGATATGAGCTTGTCTTTAAATGGGTCAATCCCCACGCCCATTTAAATGGGTGGTGTTCACTGCGTGCCTGATCATCAACGCGGGACCCACGTTCCTACTGCGCATGTACAACATCCCGAGATAGTTTCTTGCCATATGTCCGTTTGGGGAAGCGGTAAAGATTGTGCAGGTATTGATACAAGCAAATCGGTTGAATGCGCGACGATGCTGATGGGAGTAAGCTGGGTTGGTCCACCAAGTGCAATCAATATGGTTGAAACGTCACACACACACACACACGCACACATGCAACCACACGCACACAAATGCCCTGGTGCGTGCAACAAGACGTACTTTGAACAGACTGTTCGGCGATCGTACACCACGTAGAGACCACATGCAGCATATCGACAAATCAAGATCCGCAAAATTGGAACACTTCACTTGAGTAATGGGGTTAGCGTTTTGTTATGTTTCGTTCACATTTGGTTGTATTTTGAGTGGAGGGGATCAAGCATGCGTTTGCTGAAGGCGCCTATAGCAGCCTTTTATTTGTGTGTTTGGTGTTTAGTGGGTTTAGGGTTTAGGAGTTTTGGGTTTGGTGTTTGGCAGCCAGGCATTTGCAGCATCTTCTACATGCCACAAAGCCAGTGAACTTGGCCAACTTGGTGCGACACGGATGGGGCTTGCCGCATGCCACCTCAGCCATGATGGGTTTGTCTCAAAATGCGGAAGCCCAAAGAGCGATGGTGTTCCTATTGGTTTCCCTTTAAACCAACGCCAAAATGGGCAACTACAAAAAACAGACAGACCCTGATGCCTTTCTAAATTATAGCGAACCCTTATTTGGGTTGGTGAATGAGTATGATTGATCCTGAAAGCGGTCCAGCCACTTTCTTGCCACTCAGGGACCTGGAAATCTGAAACTCATGGCTCTATGGTGTCTCGAGGTACCACACACCCTTGCTTGCCGGGTTTCACGGCATCTATCAGAACCCTTACACACTCTTTGCGGGAGTCACTCACACTTGATTTTCACACTCGCGCGCGGTCAAAGCTTCGGACAAAGGCACAGGGGTGCGTGCAGGTTCTTTGTCCTACTGCCAATTCTTTCCTACCTTCGACAAGCCGACCGAAGCCAAGCTTTGTCAGCCAACTGCTTGGTTTCAAGTTTTTCTTCCTTCCCTTTTCGACAAAACGAGTATTACCTTTTGAACTAGTCAATGTCCTTTGTGAGTTGTCTTTTTACTGCTTGAAGTGGCCAAGTTGATTTGCCAGTGTCCTTGGTGTTTATAGGTAGGACAGCCTCGCTTCAGCCTGCCGCGCGATTTGCCATGGACCACACGCCGGCGGTGGTGAGCTATTCCCAGGACTTTGTGTCCTTAGACCAGGCCGGGGGGTTTGGGCGACAGAGAAGTCTTGAAAGGTGGTGCTCAAGATTATCAAACGTTTTGGCCGACTTTCAAGTGGTAGAATTCTGAGAATGCTGAAACACCACCTTTGTGTGCGTCTATACATATAATAATAATGATAGTAATAATCATAATAAAGCGAATAATATGAATATACATATTTATGTATGACATGTATATTATAGTAAATGAATAAAACATGAGTGACATATATATATATATATATATTTACATATTCGACCAACAGTAATATATTTTGCGATGTTGGTCTTGGTGGCAGAAGTCTATGACAATAACACCAGCTTTTCTTGGGGGGTCCATGTTTTGCTTCAGGATAGTGCCGCATTCTACCCTTCCACACAACATGGAGCTTAATTGGGGTGCCTACCTTCGTGGATTCCATGTTGGGAGGTACTTCATGGCGGAGCTGACAACTCGGAAGGGCTCTAATCGTCCAAGGGCTAGCACAGCCCTACTGAGAACCTTAAAACTGGCGCAGAAGTGCCAGCTGTGTCCGTAGGCTTTAAAGGCGCCTTCAGGTGTCAGGATTGGTGTCAGGCTTAAGCCACTGCCCTAGCAGGGCAAGCGAATCGCTTGTACCCTGTTTGGGAACCAGGTTTCCGGCCTTGACTCGTGAAGCTTGGAAACACATGTGGCGTGCGGCAGCTGACTTTTTGATTCAGTTGCAATGAAAGTTGGCCGGATCATGGGGTGTTCCGGCTTTGGCCCGGATATTTCGACAGCGCAGTGGTGTTCCTCATATATAAAGCCGCTGGATTGAATATCTGAAATATCGGAGCAATGACATGCAGGGGTCACTGTCTCATGTCTAACGATTGATCCCACATTCTTTTCACCCGCCCTTTTGATATACAACAATCCTCCGGATGTTTGGCCATTTTGTGAAGACGACCTCTGCAAGGAATGGCGGCAGTGCAGCCCAAAAAATAGGCACACTTGCCAAGATTGATTTGGTATGCGTCATCCTCCAAACCGACCTGCATGTTCGGATCCTGAGAAGACTAAGATGCCTGCGGAAGCACGTGAAAAAAACAAAGCGTTCCCGAGGAGGTGAAAGACCTAACGGCGCCCAAGCCTGAGCCGGGGGCCCTGTGATTTGGCTGGAGCGGGTGAGTCCAAGCATTTTTCATAGACCCCTTGAAAGTTTGCTGGGATTGAGTCAGGTTCCATTCTTGAAAACCATTCTTTGCAATCAACCAGGAATCCCTGGAAATGGGAAGCGGTGATACCCATGGATCTGTCTGTGCGCCGCCTCGCTTTGTTGAAGGCACCCATCCATATTTTCAGTACCATGGCAACCTCCGACAAAAAGAGCCGCCTAGACGAAGACGATCCTAAACAAAAACAATCGGTTCCCCCGGTTCTCCCCTTACTTCCTACCTATGTGACTGAACAGCAACGTGAAGCTGAGTATCTAAATGAAAACGCTCGGCGGTGAATTGGATTCGGGGCCTCAGGTCCTAAAACCGAACCTGGCGTGTTTGAGCAGCCCAGATCCCACACTTCTTTTGGGCTCAGGTCCCAAATCTCGTTCCAAGCGGTTGAGCATGCAGTCTGCACCACACCCCAGAACCCGCCTTAGGGGCCCTTTTCGCGGCAACCCTCGGGTAGTTCGGTGGATCAGCCCATGTGTTCGAAGTGTCTACCATACAGGTAAATGGAATCCCTGCGAATTCTTGAACCCTATGGGGCCAAGTTTCTGAAAAGGGCTGACATATAGCTTGGTGCATGAAGGTCAATGACGCATTCCCCCGCCCCAGCTAGTCTTCAGCTTGCTGAAACGGCCGGTATTTGGAGCTCCTAAGGTCTATTGGAGACCACTTGAAGTTTCGTACCTGCAACTCGTTTTCTGGCCCAGTGCCAGTTGGGCATGTGAACCAGCTTGATTACCTTCCAAGATGCTAGCGGACCAAGACCCGTGAAGTTGGGCCTGGGAACTGCAGGGCCCGGCAGCTGGAATCCGCTTCGTTTCGTCTTTCGGGGACCCGAGGGCTGGTTCCCCCTAAGCAAAAGGGGATGGTTGATTGCTATAGAAGTAACTGCGATTCGCCAGGGGCAAGCTGAGTACACACATAAAGCAATTTGGTTTAGAGGTACCCCGCAACGTCGTTCATTGTGCAGGCCAAATAGAATTTGTCGCTGTGAGGAGCACTCAGGTCAGCAGGAGCCGGCATATGTTCGCACCAAATGAAGTCCTAGGCTCACTCTCGCTCCCTATTTTCCCGGAAGTTGTTCTATAGGGAGACCACTCCAGTGCAAAAACACACAGCTTGGACTTGCTTCAGCCACTCAGAGACTGCAAGCGATTCCTTATGTGCAGGGCTGAGCTACACTTTCAACCTTGGGGATGCAGCGGAGATGCCGTTGGTAGGGAGGGAGGTCGCTCGTCGAACACTAAGTTTTCCTAGGCTCCCTTGTGCCCACCCCTCCTTGCATCCCCTTCGCTGAGAACAACACATAGCTTGGCTGCTATTGGTTGGGACAATTGGCCTCCCCACAAACAGAGTTGTTTGTTTTGCACAGACAACTTGTGGAAGACTTTACTTCAGGCACCCATGATCCAGGCTCCCTTATTTGGAGTTTGTTGCTGTTTGGTCATTTGGCCAGATAAATCTGTGCCACACACTCCGCGAGCTTCAGGACTCGCTGGTGCCTACTGGAGCTTCCAAAGGACGGAAGCAATGCAGCAATTGCAATGGGTTGGTTGGTGGGTGGGTTGATGGGTTGATGGGTTGGTGGGTTGGTGGGAGGTTGGGTGAGTGGGCTTTTGTTTGTGTCAATCAAACCCTGGCTTTTTGCGACTTGGCCGCACCAGAAATACTGATTTGAAGCATGACTGGCACATCTCATGCTACCGGGGGGGGGTGGTGCCCCGTTTGTAGGACAATCAGTGCTTCCAGTTACAGTTACGAGAAAAAGTAGGTGTTCAGGGGATATTATACAAAAGGCAGAAACAAAACGAACTGGGTCATTTCCAGACTTCTGAGAGGGAGCCATAAGTGTCCTTATTAGGTTGGTTTAGTGAGAAATAGACGGGTCCCACTTTCTTACCTTGGCTTTTGTGCCCCATTGGATAGGGAAAGCCCATCCTTTTTTTCTCCAAAAGAACGCCAGGGGGTCAGAGGGCTGCAGGACCAGCTGCAGGCTCTCACCTCCGGCTCCACCTTTGCCTTCCGCGAGCTCTCCGGCTCCGAGGCCCCATCGATTTTCCGAGCGTGAGTTCGAGCCAAAGGCTCAGGTCGGGGAAGACCCCCAGGTTGCAGGGGAGCCCCCCAAAGCGACGCAGAGAAGGCCCCCCCAAAAAAAAATCCAAGATTATCTTTGTGGCTTGAGCAAAAATCACCTTTTGGACAGGCCATTCTAGCGTCAGCTTCCCTTTGCGATGCTTTTGTGGGAAGAGAGAATCAAAAATCCTGGACCTCCAGCCCGGTTCTCTTGTTATTTTTGGCTGGGGGCCTTCTGAACATCAAATACCACAAAAACGAGCCCATATTTGTTTATGGTTCTCAAACATGGTTGGCTAAGTCCAACGATGCAAATGGTGTCCACCTTCCCTCTCAAAGGTGGGCGGCGCGAGTTTGCTTTGGCACCCGGACAAAGAAAAGCCACCACATGGAAGCCAAACCACATTCTATTTTTGGTTGTCTCCCCATGTATTTGGAGACAAACCGCAATATAAACTGTTGTTATGTTGTCTTTCTCGAACATAGTGGACGTGGACCCCTTGGTGGACATGTATTACACGAGGATTGACTGTCCACCAATCATTGTGGAGGGTGACCAAACGAATATCTGAGACCTTTTGAAAAGGGAAGCACTATGCAGAGCCGGATCAGTTGGCAAATCTCGGAGGCTCTACCGCAGGACAATGCAGGGTGCCTATAAGTCCAACATGTTGGTAGGTAGAAACAGTTGGATTGAACTCAAAACGAGATGGATCCCGTCTCGGAATGGGTGTGAAACAAGTCCACAAAGCCAACTCCACTGTTCTGGGCGCCAGGTGACAATTCATGCACGCAGTTGTCGGTTTGATTTGCGATGATCAACGGTCAAGGGGTTCATCATCTGTTGTTGTCAAGAGGTTGGCATGTATGCTGCATGCTGATCCGATCTCTCACAATGTCAGTGGGCTGCACCTTGTTATCCAGCACATGTTCCTTGACCAAGACGCATAGAGTACACACCGTGGAGCTCGGCTGCAACTTTGCCCTCGTTGTTTTGACCAAGGGCTGAGATGCAGACGAACGAGTTACCCGTCAGCACTTGGCTTGGCGTTTGTAAATCAGTCTTACTTCTCGCGCGCGATGCTCCAGCACCGAAAAGTAGGCACCGCATGAAGAACCCATTTTGCGCAGGAAACTTGCGTAGGCTTTGCCTTATAGTTTCTGGTCATAGGCGACGTTGTTGGCTGGTTTCAAGGGGATCTAAAAAGAAGCACAAGCCATTTCTGGGGTCCCTAGTTTGATGGGGTATATGTGTGTTGGGAAAACACATGTCGCCGCACGTTTTTCACATTGTCCGCCCCGCCAACATAAAAAGGTAATTTCAGGGAGCGAACCCTGAAATTGTATTTCTGGTTCAACATCCCCCTCAAGGCTAGATCAATGGGACGGCGTCGCAAGCTGCACCATACCAATCAGGAGTGGTTCGACCACTTTCGTTGGGATTCAGATGCTCGCGGGAGTGCTCGGATCTATCGTCCAGATTCCGAATTCAAAATTCCCTGCAGTCTCTGCCCTCAGATGGCACATATCTAAGATGAAGGTGTCATGATCCCTTTTCTAAAAGTCGTTGTGCGAGCTTGCATGGATCTCTTTCAGGTTTTGGGCATGCTGATGGACAACCGGCACCAGAGTGGTTGATAAAACAACCAGCTTTCCGGGCTTTTAATTACAGGGATGTGTCTCACGGGGGACCCCCATGGCTTCGGTTTTTCTTTCGGCTTCCCTTCACCAAATTCAACCCCCAACAAATCGACGCAGGCAGGGCAGGGCTACGCGGCGCTGAGCACTGCAGACTCCACGCTGGAGTCTAAAAATGCTGTGTTTTTTTCCTTTTGGTTTCCCTTCTGAACCACCAAAAAAGTGGTATCCTCAAAAAGACAGAAATGGGTGGTAAACGTAAGGTGGCACGTTCACGCCCAGTGTGCGTTGATCGCTGGTTTACAAGCAAAATTAGCTTCGTTTGATGGTTAGGGGTAGGTTCCCATGTACCCTCCACAAAAGCGGGTTCAAATCCAACTACCAATCCAAACCACCAATTGAGGGGTACATGAAAAACCTTTTCCAGGAGGACGTCATTGCGAGATACTTGGACCCTTCGGCGGATTACATTTGTGTATGTGTGTGTCCTTTCACCACCAATTCAATGTGGAAGTGTCACTCGAATAGACCCAGATGTTTGAGCCGTTGCACACTTGCGCTGAAGTTTGGAGGGACAAAGAACCCAGCAATTGAATCAGTTGGTCTGACGGATTTCTTGGATTTCAAGATAGGACTAATAGTTGCAGTAGACTCCTCGTAATTGAATTCCATTCTAAAGGCTACCATGCGGGGACTTCGGTCGATTTGCTGCCAAGGCAAGGAGTGTTTGTACAACCAGACCCTGGCCCGGCAAGGAAACAACAGGCGGTTGTGTAACGAGCAGCGGTTCAAGAATGTTTGAACAAGGCAGTCCATAGTGAGAAATAGCTGGACAACTAGTTGCATCAAGAATGCTTGAACAAGGTAGCCCATATTAGAAGCAGATTTGGAGAACCCTTTCTATGAGGAGAGATTCCGATTTTCTTAAAAAGGGTTCCCTTTGTCACAGGAATGGGCGCCCACTCCACTGATCGGGTTGGATCCCCTTCCAATTTTCTTGGCGGCTTCCCTTGATCTGACTCTGACTTGGAGCCCCGAGGTTCAGAGTTGAGTTCTTGGAGAACTCGAATACTCTGCTCCTGGGAAAGGCCCTCGGGCGACGGGCCCTCGGGCCGGGCGTCTTTTTGGGCACACCTCTTTTTTTGCGAGCTTCGTAAAAGAGGACCCAAAATGGTTTCCCCTAGAACAACAAAAGGATGGGACTCAGATAATGTGGGACTCACAGAAATTTGGACTTCCGAAAATGTATCCTGAAACATGTTGGTTTCGTTTCTGTTTCCCGTTTAACAGCAAAACAAAGGCAAGGTCCTATAGTTTTGCACACTACGTCAAAGCGAGTCGAGCCTCTCTGGCGATGTGAAGAGGCGGCAACCCGATAGACATTTAAGGAGTTCTTGCTCATTCTCAGGGAATGAATGTGCCCTATGAACCATTCATTTGTGGCTTCCTTCACGGGAATCCCCGGTTTCATTCCCCAAGCCGCTCATTCCCTACTCAGACTCCGCAAGAGGATGTCAATGCTTTGCCGTTTGATGGTGTTTTCCAGGTTTGGCAATCCTACACTTCACCACAGGATGTGTCTTAGCTGTGAGACATGGGCTGTTGCCGAATGCATGCATTTTGTTAGGGGTACCCTTTCGACATGTTATACCGGGGATTCATGTGCACCAACCATGATTGATTTTCCCGATTACCCTCCCATCAACATGGTTAGGAAACCGAAGATTGCAATATTTGGCGGGGTCTCAAAACCAGGGACCCCTATCCAGGGGTTGGTGTCCTTCTGTATCCTTCCGTTCTTGTCTAAGCACCAATCAAAAAGAAGAGTTCCCGTTTTTCAGACGCACCCATATGTCTTGTTTTGTTGATTTCGGAGTTCCCATGAGGTTCACATCATGTTCCCTTGCAAACGTCTTGCAGGGCTTCCAAATGCCGAGCAGGAAGATAAGCCAGCAGCCCAGCAGTGGTGGAGGGCCGTTCAACGGGTCCTAATAAACGGGTTTCGATCGCTTGCACCAAAGGACCTTCGTGTTTGTGGATCTAGAATCCAGTTGTTTGAGCCGATTTAGGGTCACCGTTTTGGAAGGAAGGAAGGAAGGAAGGAAGGAAGGAAGGAAGGAAGGAAGGAAGGAAGGAAGGAAGGAAGGAAGACCGGAACATTTGTACAACACTGGCGCCAAAACCACAACTCACCAAGTGGAGGCAAGGGTTGGGCTTCAAGTGAGCCACCACTCGAAAGAAAGAGGACATCTGCAGTTGGTGGAATAATAAGGGTCCAAGGTCCTTGTGAGGAGGTACTCCAGGGCCTAACAAGGGTTCAAATACATCACCGAGTACCAGGATCCTGTGAAATTGGACAATTTGTATAACTTCTTGGTTTTAGTTTGGTTTCTTGTTCTTGTTTATGAGTTGTTTGGAAGCTTAGTTCCGGTTTCTTCCTTAAATCACAAACAATTTCAAGCCTCAACCCATGCACCTTGCAGGTCGAGGAGCTGGATAAGGAGAACGCAGGCCCGCGCTCGGGCGGCCGGGTGGGGGGTGGATCGAGCCGACTTTGCACAGACAAAGCTCTGGGCACAGCATCAGATACTGTACCCCTTCTAGGTGCCCCGGTAGTGCCCTTTTACCCTTTTTGGGGGGAGGGTTCCCCTACTAAAATAGACTACAGAAAAAGAAAAGGGTACCCGAGTACCTTATTGGTGGTCAAGGCGTCACACTTAACCTCTACAAGAACCAGGGGTTCAAATTCCCAAACCACCAATCCACACCACCAATTGGGGGTTACTTGACAATATGGGAGGGTCCATCTGGGTTGCGCTACAACCAAAAAGGTACCCGTAAATTTCGGGTGGATGTCCGGATGTCTGGGCATTCATCGTGGTGGGAAACCACAAGGCGGCCATCTCGGGCACATGATCTCGCGACGGAATCGGATTCCTCAGGCCCTCATGAAGCCTCGCTTCTCCGCTATGGGTCCATGTTTGGATTGGGTTTGTGAGCCACGGTGCTTGTAGCATCCACTTCAGCTGCATGCATGAAACCCTAGGAATACTGGGACAAGATCCAGATCCGACTGGTGCAGGATGTGTTCCCTCCCCAGGAACAGAAGTTGTCTACATATTTGGGTTGCGTCCAAATGGGGGAATCCAGACCTTTGATGATTTGGTGTTCATTTAGTTCCTGACAAACTACAGGGGCATCGGTTGTTTGTTTTTTCGCTGGACCTACGATTTGTATCACGGAGGTGCCTGCAGAAAAGAGTGCAGATGATCTCGGAAACATCAAGGCAGAAAGCTAAACATGTGGCAGGAAGTCCGGCTGATTTGGGTGTGTCTTAGAATAGGCACGTAGTTTTCTCTGTGGTTCCCGTTAAATCCCGTTAACGCAACCCTTCTACAAGAGCAAATACAAGATGGACCCATTTCAAGAGACGAATTGGTTCGGTACGAACTTAAACAAAGTGATCGCCCTCACAATGTGTGCCGCGGTTGTTCATCCCGAGTGGTTTGTGATGGGTCAGGTAACCACCAAGCATTTTTGAGAGAACCACGGCTCACGTTGGATGGCTGGCCACTTGTTTCAGCAGAATATCCCATTGTTGGGACCTCAAGTAGTAGCTGAATTACTGAATCTAGCAGTAACATGCTCCACTTTTGAAGGTGGACATGCAGTGGCAGTGTTGCTTGATGCCTTCTGTCTCAGTCCTGTTTAAGACGACACTGGACAAACGTTTTCGGGCCCCCTTCAAGCTTCCTAGAGGTCTACCGAAACCGATATAAACAGGGGACCTCCTTGCACTCGCCGAAGGATCCGTGGGGTCGCAGCCCTTCGGCTCGGAGGGAAAACGCTTGGCCGAGAGAATGACCGAAGAGCAGGGCTCCTAAGATACATTTTGCTTGCCCATTTGAAGCATGGCTTTTTCCACCAAGATAAAAGGAAAGAAAAAAAACACCATTGACAAGGCAATGTTCAGGTGTATAATGTAAGGACCCCTGCAGAGCCTTGTTTGATGGCAGAAGCAAGGAATGTGGATTGGCCTGACACCGAGACTAGGAAGTCACAGCCATTCAAGCACGTCCCATGTCTTCATTCCAGGGGCTCCCCGTCAGTCCTCACTGGGCTTAGTAATCATGTAGTACTCAGGTGTCGACATTCTGCACATTCGTGAAGCTTAGCCTCCAATGTGACCGAGGAAGCAGCTGCCCGCATCAAAAGCGAGGAGGCGAAGACTTCGCCATGCCTGTGCGTGTTCGGGGGGTCCAAGTAGAGCTCTCAATAGTTTGAAGGTGCTCACTCATTAGGTATGGGAGGGACCAAGATCGCGTTTCCAACTCTGTGAAGACACCAAATGTGGGTCGTGTTCTACACAAGGCAAGCAACTCATGTTTTCGCATGTTTGCTTCCTATTCGTGGGAGCCCGCCCCCCCTTTTGGATGGCTGACAACAGAAAACCCCAAAGCCCGCTAGCTGAAACACTGAAGGGTACGGCGTTCCCTTAAAACAAACAAAACACACATAAGCCAACCCCTGTACATCCTCTAAGGTTCCGAGAGGCCCGCGTGCCATCCGGCGCCATGTGGCCCACCCCGTCCGCTCCCTCGGCGCCCCTCCGCGCCCCGCCGCGAACTGCGGCGCCGCGCGGGGCTCCGTGCCCGCACGGAGCCCCGCGGCGCCGGGGCGAGCCGTCACTGCGGCGCTGGGCTCCGGCGGTGGCGCTGGCGGCGGGTCGACACGCGCTGAGGCACCGGAAGAGGGCCCAAGGGTGTCATCATGAGATGGCTATGGGTCAAAATTAAACCAGGAATTGGACTGCAGGGTTTGGTCCATGTTTTCCCATCTACCAGGATTCCATTTTGGGTACATATTTTTGAGCCACAGCAGATCTGGTTACATGGGCCCCGAAAATAAGTGGTGTTCTTTTCGGCTTCCCTTTCAACCGAGGTGAACAGGATAAGCTCAGGGAACACAAACACGGCTAGCCTCATTTGTAACCAGACAGAGGCGGCCAAGTGCAGTGGGCAGTTCAAAGGCTGACCCCTCACATTCAAGCGCCAGTCGATCCCTTGGGGTGTCTATGTGTGTATGCATTCATTTGTGTTTGTGTTTCTTTTTGTTTTGTATTTCTCTATCTACACTAATATAATACAATCCAATCTAGACTAATCTATTCTAATCTAGTTTGCGTATTTTTCTCTATATATATATATTTGTCCATGGTTTTATTCTATTGATTTGTACTGTTTGGTTGGTTTATTTGGCTGTTCCATCCTCTTCACTCTATGGAAACTGTGTAAGTAGGTAGGAATTGGTACGCGCCTGGAATACCACCCGGGCTTGTTTGCACTCTTTTTCTGGCAGGCGCAGGCTCAGGACATGGACCCACTAGGCATCTTCCGGCATGGCGTGGCATCGGGGGAGGTGTAAAACTATGCTTTCTCATTGCCGCTTTGCTCGGGCGAAATGTTGACTTAGACAAACATGACACTTCTTGATTGCAGGGTTGCTTCTTGAATGTTGACTTGAAGAAACATGGCATTGCCTAGTTTCCTGGCGGCTTGTGTTGCTACGCGCATTTCGATGGATCCTTTTCATCTTCCAAGCCTTCGAGGCTCTTTGGAGAAACCGAGCACCACAAAAAAGTCTTGGATTTTTTAGTAGAACTTTTTCTTGGTCACGCAGCCAACCTTGAGAATCCACTGGCAGGGCCAGTGAATAATGCAGGCAGCAGGATTGGTAACGGGTTCCTGGGGGTGATATTTCAGGCGCGCGCCTAGGAATACCCCGCTGTTCACCTTGCGGGTACTCTGAGTTTTCCTTCAGAGATGCTTGAAGCCAGAATTGACTCAACCCCTTCAGACATGTTTAAGCCTGTACGGCATAGTTTGAAGAAGCTCCTGTTGGTTTCCCTTCCTTCTGGGTGCAAAGCAACTGGTTGAAGCCAATCAGGCAGCACCAAGCCAACCCCATGCTGCCCAAGGAAGGACACATGAATTGTACAACCAGCACAACTATGCCATATAGAGGGTATCCAAGGGTGGTGGCGACCATTTTCAAGACTTGTGCATGAAATGGTGCACCACTACATGCCAGCATAGTGTATAAGAGGGTCAGGCTTTCATGGTTTGGCCGTTTTCTCCACACATCAACATCAAACCATAGAGATATCTCCTGGCCGACCCCCTCTACAGGAGAAACAAGGAACTGAATGTCAATCAGGCTGGAGGGACCCCCTGGGAAAGCTTGGTATATTTGAGAGTGCTCCAAGCCTAATGACGGGAATTTGGTGCGCTGTCCTTTTGTTTCCTTTGGTTTCCTTTGGTTTCTTCTGGTTTCTTCTGGTTTCCTTCTGGTTTCCTTCTGGTTTTGCGACCAACTTTCCCGGAGGTGTCCTGCTTTCTGTTTCCGGCTCGTAGGCCGATCCGACGCGTGGCATTGGTCGGGGGCACTCATGGCAATGAGCTCTCCGGCGTGTACTTGGTGAGGCAGGTCATAGACGACCTTCGCTTACCCAACTGGGTGTGAGGGTGCCCCTGTTTTGGGATTTTAAATGGAAGCCAAGAGGAAATCCACCATAAATGACACCCCCTTTTCAAGTGCACTGGAAATAGGGAGCTTTCTTCCACCTCCTCCCTGGCTGTGGCTGACTGCTGGAGTTAGCAAGCTGAGCACTTCTTGGCAAGTTGCTGTATCATATATCTCAGTCAAGGTCCAAGAAGTTGCTTTTTATGGCAAGTTAGCTCGGCTGTCCAAGCAGGTTCACTCTAAGATGGTTTCCACTACCCCCGCCCCGAACCATTTGGCCCAAAGGATGTAATACCATATTTGCAGGCACTATATAGCCAGTATTGTGCAGTACATATACCCAGCTTTCTCTTGGGGGTAGTGGCTTGAAACAGCTCATGAAACGGGCAACTCTCTCGGGGTTGATTCCCCATTCTGCTCAACCATTGTTCTTGTCAAAGCTGGATTCAGGGTTCTAAGGTTATTACCAATAGGCCCCTGCCATGCTTCCACTTATCAGCCTTTTGTTTTTTTTGGCTACATTTGTTGGTGCCTCACAGCTCCTTGGCTCCTTTGTGATGCTCGCGTCCAGGCTTTGTTGCACTGTACGAGCTGAGAGGGCGTTGCAACGGTAACAAATACATACACATACTGTGCATTGCGCACCCAAATACAAAACGGAAATCCCGAAAAACCGAAGTGTCCTTTCAGTTCTTTTGGGGAGCATGATTCTCCCTGTTCGAAATCTCAACCTGTCCCAATGGGGGTGACCTTAGAATTCGGTTTGTGGTTTGTGGTTCCAGTTTATCATTTTGAAAAAAAAACACAAACAACAACTAGAACATGGTTTTTTGGGGGGACCCGCCTCCATTTTTCCCCCTTAAGGTAGGTCCTGAGGTTTAGAACAACTATTAAACCAATGGTTGGGTTCATAGAACCAACATTGCTTGCCGAAGGATTGTCATCACCCCAATGGGGTCAACCATTCTTTCCCTGGGGGTTGAACCCTGGGGTAGGATGCTTTTGGACCGCAGGTCCTTGATGGAACATCCATTGACTCACTACGATTCTCTGAGCTTGGAGTGCCTGATTGGGAACCCCCGCGCGGTGGACGTCTGCCAAAGATTTGCCCCTTGACACGCAGGGGACCGGTGCTTGTAGAGGGTACCCTCCCACCAATTGGCATGGAACGTGACGTAGGGAACGGGTCCCTTCAAAGGAAAATGGTCCAAGCCAGGATCCCCCGAACCTTAGGTTTCATGTTAATCGGTGGGAGGGTAAATGGGAAACCCTCCGAACCAACAAGCCACTCCACCAGAATAGGTTGGTCCCTTGAAACGCTCATTTTGACGATTTGTTTGGCTGTTTGGGGTTGTCAAAGTCCGAAGCTGGGGTGGTTTCCTTTGAACTTACGGCCGAGTTTGGTGGTAAACATCTTGTGGCCTGCTGGAGCCACTGCAAACTGGCTGTTCCCAGCCACGGTTCCCTAACGCCGTTTGGCCTTTTGGGGGTTCAGACACCTGAGCCACGTCCTCAAAACCTGGCTAGAAGGCAAGGGATAGACCCAACCATACATAGGTGTGCCAGCCCTATTAATTCTTTGTATGGTCTTGTCTAGACAATCGAATGCCAGGTTTTGATTCCAACTCACCTTGGGCGCCTAGACCACTAAACTTGGCGGTTCCCAGCCATGCGGTTCAAAAAGACCTTTAGCTTTGCAGGATTTAATGGGGTTTCTGACATATCTTGCCAAGAGTTGGAGCTTTGACAATTTGAGCTTGAATTGTTGAGCGTTTTGCCCGTTTGCCCTTGGGCTTCCTTCATACCCCCTTTCAATCAGCAACAAGCTAACTATTGCAGTGGGTCTAACTCTGCTTCCTTCTAAACGTTCTAGGCTGCAGGGACCGCACCTTTGACAAAAAGATGGTTCCGCACCCAAAGTGCAAGATCAAGGCATATCAAGGGCTGATTTGAGACCCGGGCAAACGAGGTCACTAACTTTATCTATCAGCCGATTCTTTCCGGTCACTTATTTTATCTATCAGCCGCTGCTGTCCGTGTAAAGGACCAGTTTGGAGGGTACATAGTTGTCGAACACTTTCTTCAGTCCTCTGGTGGAGGCCAGGGTCCGGCACAGGTCCAGGACCATTCTTGGGCCAGCTTAAGGCAGCCCGCATGAAACCACGGGGCAGGTGCTCGCAGTTTGCACAAGCCTTTACTCCAAACATCCTGAAAACCGGAGGCATTTACCGTGGAGACCAGGCCTTTGCAAAGTATACCCTTACAAAAGCGAGTATTTGGTGCAGCAGGCAGATCGTTCATTTGAGGACCCCGGCAATCAGTCAGAGAACTAGCATACAGAGTCTGCAGGTGCCTAAGGATGTTCTTATGTGCTGTAGGCGTATATCATGTTGCTACTGACTCTTGGGACTTTGGCAGCTCCCTTTCCGCGTGATTTTTGTATGGGTTTTGTAGCTACTCTGGCCTGCGGCATCAGCACTGTGCTGGCTGGCTGCCTGACCAGCGTGCATTTTCAGTTGAAGAGCACACTCTTTGGACAGAAAGGAACACTCACGTGAGGTTTGCATCTTGATCTGAGGCTTCAGGTTCCAATCCTGCTTGAGATGTTCTCAAGAATCCAAAGTTGCGATTCCAGTCATGTGTGATGCAATGTACGAGGCCTGCCGGATGTCTGAGGAGCTTCGGCTCAAAGTCTTTGCTTCAAACTTTGGTGTATCCATGTATCTGGATGAAGATTTGGTGCAGATGTGGGATATAAGGTGGGGGCATATTCTAGGGAGTAAAACTATGGAGAATCCAATCATGGAAACACAACCCAGCACAGGTTTGCTTGGGGATAGAATGAAAAAACCATGGAGACACAACATCAGTATACTATATATGTTTGGGATATATTATATATATACATATATATATATATATAGTATGTGGAAGAAACACAACACATTTGGTGTATCCCATGGCCTGACTCTCGGGTCACCCGAGGTGGACACGGATCTGAACCGCTGCTTCTCCAAGTCGGCGCTGCAGTCCGGAGCCTCGGCGGCCTACGAGCCGCGCCGCGCCCAGGAGATCGACGCCACGCTGGGGCCGCGGTTTTCGGAGGAGGCGGGTGGGGGAACGCCTGCCGGTTGGGGGCGTCGGAAGTTTGTAGGCTTGGCTCCAACTGGGGCGGATCTGTGTGACTTGCCACCCTTTCACTTGGTTGAAACAAACAGAGAAGGGTTGGAAAAAAAAGGTTTGGAGGGTGCACAGAGGTGTTTCGTCAGGTAGAGAGGTGGGGTTCGTTGGTCCCGTTTTGGCAGCAGTTGCTGGACAACAGGCGCCCGGGTTTCCTCTTGGAGGCCATGACGCACAGTGCCCTCTTCTTCCTTTGCGGGGGGTCCTCTTTAAAATCCACTACCAAAGTCAGAGTGCCCGCTCTTTCCCGTGGCCGGCGGCCTGGCTACGGTGTGCTTTGTCGCTTTGAGGGTAAGGCAGGAACCCTGGGCAGTCTAAAAGGGAAATGGGGGTGGTGCCACGGGACTCCAGTGGTTTTTGGCTGTTTTCAACATTGGATTAGCGGGGTGTACCGGCAAAATCCGGCTTTTTGCTTTAGGCGCTTTGCTTTGGGCGCTTTCCGGGTCCTTGGGCTGTGATTGTGCGGAAGACCACTCACCAAAAGGCTAAAGCTTCCTCTAGCCAACAGAAGGGTTCACTTCAGAAGCAACTAGCAAATCAGGATGCGGGGAGCTCGCATGTGGAGATTTGGGTTGTATGTTCCCAGTACAGTTTGCCGCGTTGCCCTGGCGGCTATGAGGGTTTTTTGGGCAGCTTTCAGGGAGGGTTCCGGAGGGTTGCAGGGGGTTTCTTGGCTGTTGGGGATACCACCTGGGCATTTGATTGTTTGGGGTCGATGCACACTGCAGGTGTTTGGAATCGCAGGCTCTTAAACATGATACCTTAAAAGTGATGGCAGATTCTTAAAGGTGTAGCGCTTTGGCTGGCATTCCAGTTGAAAAGAATCAAGATCCACGGAGATGTACGTGACTCCACTGATTGCAGATCATTTGACTACCCGCGTGACTTTTGAGCACGTTTTTTACTCGGAGGCTTGTGACTTGTGCATCGACCTGCACAACACAACGAGCAACTTTGGGTGTGCCTTGCATGCAAGAAGCAGCAACGCTTTCACGGGCCCAGGACAATGAAGCTACTGTTTGACGCTCCAGTCTTTGCACTTGTCGTTCTTTTAAAACAAAGGGATACACCTCTGGATTTTGCCAAGCGAAAAGTTTGACCTCACAAAGAAGGGCTTGACCTTATAAAAGGAAGTTTCATATGTTGGTTTCTCGATTAAAAACAAAACCGATACGGGACGTTAAAACAATATACCCCCAAAATTCCTAGAAAACCAGCACGCGAAAGATGATGCGGGACATCCTGACATCGGATTCTGAATAGACCCACAAGTAATGTTGACGCTGACTCATATGCCCTCATGAGTCACAATCAAAACCCGGGTGCTTGGAGGCTAAGGGACAATCCCAGCCATAAATGGGTGCGGCCGCCTTGTCAATTCTTTACATGGTTCTGGGATTACGACCATTTCTTCATACCGGATTTTGATTGTGACTCCCATTGTGGCCGACGTTGAAGAGCTTCGAGCCTCTCCACTGGAAGCACTCGAGCGTAATGGCTGGGTGTTGGCAGAGTGTGGACGGAAGGCTCCGTAGCTGATCGTGCCTGCATTGTAAATATTTTGTAAATATGATACCATATAGATACTTGACATATATATATATTTATTTATACACACATGGTGTATACATACATACATATATATATATATATATGTGTACGTCTACATACCTATATATATAGCATATATACATATAAATGTATGTATATATATGTATAGATGTACGTATAAAGATAATTGAGATGAACTTGCTTAGCAGGGAATGTTCCAGCCTTAAGCTGAGCCGCCCCTGTGCGGTCGGTCTCTGGATGTAAATCAGAATCTAAAATCACTGGTTGTACACTTGCGACAATTTATCCTTGCTTTTTGGATGTTGTTAATGAACACCAAAAGGACGTTTCAGCCAACGTGTGGGGTCCCATATGTTCCCCAGCGACAGCTAGGGCCAGCGATCCTTTGTTTGGGGGGGGGGGGGTCGAGCAAGTTCCTGGAGTTTCGGGGAGGCAGGTTGTTTGGGAGGTTCCAGGATGTTCCAGGGTGGTTTGAGGATACCTCTTGGGCCTCAGTTCCTTTATTCTTTCTTGGATGGACATTTGAGTTGGCCAAGTCCACTCAGGAATTGAGGCTTGAGAACCAAGGTGGCATCATCATCACCAACACCTCGTCGCCGAACCTCCACTGGAAACTGCAGCTTTGTTGCCACTTGCAAAGCCGGAGGCTTAGCTTGCAGAGAACTCGTGCGACTTGCAGGCTGCGTATTTAGTCGAGGGGTAAAATGAGCGAAAGCCTTGACATAGGCTTTTAATGGGTTCCGATCCCTCGTTTGAGCTTTGGAATGATTATTGTTTGTTTGGAAGTTTTTGCCATTGTCAACGCACCCTGTTGCTAGGGACGGTCATGGACGTCTCAATGGATTTTCCGACACCATTGCAAGGCGTGCTATCAAGAGAGTTATCATTGTTGGCCAGACAATGATCTGGATTACTTTTGACCGTGTCATATGAGGGCGTGCCCTGCTTTTCTTTGGTTAACCCAACCAGTTTACGGGAGGGGTTGGGTGCTCCGTTGAATGCTCTGGGTGTCTGCATTAGAGCAGCATAGCTAGTCTATATTTGCACATCTTTCCTTAACCAGTCAATTCCTTCCCCCCGAAAATTAGACACCTCCTCCACACGTTGAGCCTTCTCAACCCGAGCAAAAAGTTGGTTTCTCTGTAGAACCTACACTACAGTGGGACCTTCTTGACAACCTTTCGGCCGTCGTCGAAAGGTTTGCGGCCGGACGTGCATGTGGTGTTCGACTGCGTGGGGGACTGCGCGGAAGAGCCCTTTTTGCCACTGCTGGCGAAGACTCTCACTCGCAATTTGGAGTTCTCTTGTTAGAGGGTGCCCTTTTTGCTGGTTGGCCTGATGGGAAGACAAAAAGGGACACCACGTTGGGCCGTTCAAATTTTCCCTTCAATGACGCATTGGCACTCGGGTTGCCTTTTTACTATTCCCAGGGCAATTTGTTTATCTTTAAAAGCTCGGAATGTCCCTTTCCATCATTCGAAGTTGGTCATTTTGAGAGCACAAATTGCAATTCACGTGTTTCGGAGGTTGCTGTGCAGCCTGGTTTCCGTGATGCCTCTTTTGGGGTTGCAAGCCTTGGAGCGTGGCGCGCAGTTGCTTCGCTTGAGCCCGAGATTATGCCTGGATGTGTCCCCCACCAACATGGACAAACCCCACCAAGGGTTCCTTTCTTCTGCTAGGGTCACTAACTGGTGTGAGTGGATCCAGGAGAATGTCGGATATCTGCCCAGGAACGACCTCACCTTTGAAGTGGGGCCGCAAGCGCACGGAACTCTTCTGGCGGAGGCGCAGTTGACCCATATTTCCCGACGCCAAGAATCCGAGCAAACCGCAGCACAAACCAAGACGATAAAGCACACGACACCCAGGGAAACCCAAAGCAGCGCAGAGAAATGAAAGAGCCCAGCGCTTTCCAGTAGCTACACTATCCTACACCTACCCGTCTTCCTCATGGAACCCGAGGCTAGTCTTCAGCTTCGGGGAATGTGAGGTTTGGCACGTAGCAACCCATCCAACCTTCTTGTTTTTTTGGATCATGGGGGAGGCCAGATTCGGGCCGACCCTCGACAGGGCCACAATTGGTTCCCACCGATCCCCGTTTGGTACGGTTGGCCTGCTTCAACATGAAGCCCAGCCACATGTTTGTTGTATGTGCGTGTCCGCCAAGATCTGGAGCGTCCAGTCCTGCTTCTGCTTGGTGCAATCGGCCTGTTCCATCCTGGAATCCAAGAACATGTTTTTTGGTTGCGTGCGTGGTGCCCTCTCAGTACCCCGCTCAGTGCCCCTAGGATGATGTACCAAGCATAGCATGATTTTGTTGGCAACACTCCCCTGACTTTGCCTATTGTGCGACCCGCTGCGTTTCCAGGTCTTTTGGAAGCAGAAGAGGCGGGAATCAGCGGCCGCATGTTTTCGCCACTTCCGAGTGTCAGGGCATCAAACGCCTCCGCAATGCTGCCCTACACGTGCAATCCCTGAGTACCACTTCCCCATGACATACCACTTCCATTTGAGAGAGTTTGGACCCTTAAGACCCCTGCAGACGGCGCAAGGCTGCGCCGGGATGCGGCCTATGTTTGGCAACTCTCCACATCACACCACTGGCGTGGGGCACCGGTCGAGAAGTTGGCAAGGGGTGGCTAGCCTGATGTCGGGGGTAGCGCTGAAAGGAGGAACCGGCAATCCGATGTCCCCAGCACACGTGGCTCGTGTCAAACTGTTCCCTCTCCTTCATCTTTTTCTTGCAGGGGCCCTCAAATGGCCGGTGAACAAATCGATGGCCCACATGGTTGCGGTGGCTCACTATGGCCCACTTTCAAGGTGTCGACCAGTTTGGAAACGATCAAGGTTTATTCCGGGGTCATTCCAAAAAGACGCCTGTGCATAGAAAACCTGCTGGTTTTTCTGTTGTTGTTTTTCTTTTATATCACATCACCCTCAAAAAACACGGTCCATGGCAAATCCCATAGGTTGGTGCTGGATACCTTGGACTGGTTGGAGCGCTACAACCGCGGAGAGCTCACGGAGGAGGAGCGGAGCCCCAAGGAGCTGGAGGCGACTCCATCGGAATGGCTTTCCACCGATTCCACTCGGCGGGCGGAATCTTGGGGGCTTTTGGAGCCTAAGAAAGGGGCGTAGAGGGGGAAGTCCACCCTTTTGGAGGGTCCCTCTATTTTGAGATGGGGTTCTGGAAGCACCTGCTGCTCCAAGGTATCCTTGACGGTGTTTTTTTGGTAGCACAGAACGCACAGATGCACAATGCCGCAGCGGCAGCTTTGGCAATAGTGTGGGATTCACAACGGTCCAGATAGTTTGGGATCCCACTTATGCTTCCTCAGAGGGGAAATTGAAGGAAGCAGTTTCTTCGAAACTCTAAGCCCAACGAACATCAATGAACAAATGAGACCCTGAGGATCGCGAGGAACCCGTAAGGAAACTCGAGCCCTAAGCAACCCAAATGAACGAACAAGCGAGGAATGAGGAACCAGCGCTAAGGAACCTTAAGGGACCCTAAGGCACCCTAAGACACCCTAAGATCTTAAGGAACCCTAAGGGACCTGAAGGAACCTTCTACGGCTACAAGTTTTTGGCTCATGGTCTGAGTTTACCCTTTCGCCATGCCCAGGAAGGCAACCTAAAGCTGGTTGGTCGCCGATGGAACGGTGTGGCTTCTTTTGACGTAGAGAGGGAACGCTTACCCCGCCCGATGTGGTGTGGAGTTGGTATCCTGTCGGTGGCTCTGTTTTTTGCGGTGCGCTAGTTTGAAGCCCCAACTCTGGGTCCACAACACAAATGAATCCAATCCACCTTGCCACTTTCTGTTGTGCGTCGTCCCCTTCAAGATGATAATTTGCGGGATGGGAATTAAACGTCCTCATATCAAGAAAAGTATGTTACATGTTTTCCACGAGGACGGAAAGCAACGCTCTCCCAACAAACGGACTAGCGCACAGGTCCCCTTTGAAGGCTTGCGTTCCTTTTGGAACGCAACACCATGCCAGTTATTGTGAGAGGGTAATCTAGCTCAAAGCTAGGATTGGTCAGGTGGTTTTAGTTGAGACTGGTCCAAGGAGATGTGACTGGCTTTCCTCCAAGAAGGGTTGGTAGTTGGTTTCTTTCAGGGGCTATGGGTCACCTAGTTCGCAGCTACTCCGACACGGAAACGGACACACCTTGGTGAATGGTCTTTGCTTGATCGCCGGTGTTCTTCACGATGTGTGTGTGTGTGTGTGTGTGTGTGCAGGTCCATGTCTTCTCTGGGCTCGCCCACTACCCCTTGAGGCAGGAAGACGTACTTTTGTCAGGCGTGGGTCATACGTTGCAGACCGTTTGTTTGCTTTTCGTTGTCCAGCTATCGTTTCGGGCAGAAAGTGTTTTTGAATGTTTTCCCCAAGAAGCGTGTCTATGTCCAGAGGCTCCACAATTATACAGGCATAAGATTTGACAAAAGTCTTACGCTCACAAATTACCAGTTCCCAGTTAAGCATTCCCACGCAGTTTCAGCGGAGGCTGACCTGCCAAGAATCGATGTGACACGGTCCTTGGTTTGTTGGTCATGTGGGTCTCTTGTTAGCATTGGGCTGCCGATATTTTTATGGGCTTCGAGCAATTCCTCCCGGGAAAAAACAAAAACAAAAACAAGGTGGCACAAGGGGCGAAACAGCATGTAGGTCCTTTGCTTGGGGATCCATCAGTGGAATTGTAGAGTTTGCTGATGGGCCTTGTTTTTGTTGGGTATAGGAGCAGTTATATATCAACGCAGTTCGGGCCCTTGGACAAAGCAAGCTGCCAATTCCCTGTTGGCTTTGGAGGGCAATTGGTCATGAACCTGCTATTTTGCAGTTGCAGCTTAGGAACATCGAGGCGGGTTGAAGACCAAATGCAGCTGCAGTAAATGCGCCTACTAACGGATGCCACTTCATAGATGAGCTTCCTGCCAGCGGAGGGCATCTACAAAAAAGCCGCCAGGACTTTTCATGGACCGGGTTCTTCCCGCAACAGCAAATTTTGTGGGTGACAGTTCGCTGAGAATCAAGTTGTGGAGAGCTGTTCGTTTTAGCTGCACCGCGGCCACGGCTTGTTCCTGACCAGTTTCTAGACCGTACTGTTTTTTCCGGAATCAGATCCAGCATGTCCATAGGATTGCTGACGCCATGCGTCCTGTCACCTTGGCCGTGCTTCGGTTTCCATGTCACAGCCCCAGCACCGTGAAAAGGTCCGCTGCTGATATGAATCGAATATGCAGTTCATTCAGGTCTGGCAGGCTTGGTGATGAAACACTGCTTGATTCCTTTCCACGGACGGTCACTTTTGGCTCAAGAACCAAAAATTGGCCGTCTGTCATAAGTTTTTCTGCCATGCCACGACCGGCCGAGAATCAGCCCAAAGTGGTGAGGGAGGCCAAAGCGAGGCGTTTTCGCACATTCTGCGATCAGGCGGGGATCCAGTCTTCCATTCTATTTCACGGAGTTTGATGAGGCGCTTCGTGATGCTGGACGCGCTGTGGCTGAAGCTTGCAGGGTTGCCTGGCATGACTATTCTGTCGGTCTGGCAGCTATTCCGGCGGCTTTTCCAGCTAGAGGGTTGGGCTGGCCCCGGAAACCGGCAGGAGACAGGAGTTTGTGCAGCGGGTCCTCGCCATCGTGCTGCAGCCGTAGCACTTGGCAAAATTCCGTGACATCGCTTCCAGGCTTTGTCAGCACTGTCCAAGGTGCTGTTGCTACTTGGCAAGAACTGCAGAAGTTTGCGGCAGCCCGCAGGGTCAACTTGAGTGACCTGACGGCGCATCTTTGTCCGTGAGCACAAGTCTGGCCGGCGTGCGTTGGTCTGTCTGAAGCGGACTATTCACAACCTGCCAGTTACCCTGGTCAGCTTTGACGGCGGCCTTCCTCATTATCTTCAAGATCATCTGTTACTTTAGCCATCTTCAGCGGCAGGGTGACGGGGCGGCTGGTCATTGATTCCAGCTCCACGGAGGCTTTGGGGATCAACCAGTTCTTCCACTACCCAGCTTTTCTCGTCAGTCAATCGAGAATTAGGCCGATAAAACATGGTACTTTCCGGCGGCTGACTCCGTTATAGCAAAGAGAAGCAGCGCCTGGCTCTCCAGGTCAAGCTTGCTTTGCGGAGTGTGGTGATGATCTCCTTGCTAATGCCGCCGGCTGTTCCTTTTTGCAGAGAAGAGCTTTGGTAACAATGGCATTTTGTAGAAGACTGTTTGTGATTGTATGTTTGTAGCGGTTGGATGGACGGACTTGGATGGATTTGGTGAGGCTTGTCCAGGCTGGGCGTGCAGTTCGTGAATGGTTGGGTGTGGTAGGTTGGTTTATCTACAACATGGTTGACCGGTGTATATATATATATGTATATTCCGAATGAATTCCAGGCAACGCCAAACACATCAACTACAACATGTCATTCTTTGTATTCCACACACCAACATGCCAACAAGCCATCATATATATATATATAACAAAATCAGCTTTGTTTTTAAGGTTGGTTCGTGTGCCATGCTGAGGCCCTTGTCGCGGTTTCGCCTGGGATGGCTGCGGTGCGACCGGGACGAGCTGGCGCAGATCCTCGCAGAGGACGCGCTCTGATTAAAGACCCCGTTTTTCCCAGCCGACTTCCGGCCAACATTACTGAAACAAAGGCCCCCATCAGGTTTGCGGTTTGGCCAACGACTTCTTTGCATGATTTGTTGGCACCCTTCCAAAACCCCCTTTGATTAAAGCCGCTCTCCGGCCCCCCCAGAAAAATCCGGAAGCAGCAGCAATAGCAGCAGAAGTCTTTTCCCACTTGCTGCGGGAATGCAGGCCGCTAATCGCCACCAAGGTCCGTCAATGCCCACCCGCAGCGCTCGCCTCAAAGCTCGCCAGCCAGGTGCGGGGTTGGGGGCATTGCGCCGCGCGGAGGCATTCCACGCCGTCCGCAAAATAGGCCTGCAGCGTCTTGATCCTCTCAGGGCTACGCCGCAATCAACAAGGCAGAGTACACTCCCGCATCGTCACATGGTTTGGGCATTCAGTCCGTCCCACGTTTCCCAATGACATCTACATCAGAGGGTGGAATTTTCTCGCATCCAGCATGTGCGACGGGTTTGCTTATGTGGAATCTCGACTGCGGCCGTACTTTCTTCTGCCATATGGGGACATCCTGATCGCCACGTGGCGCCCTACGTCCGCAACAAGCCTGATCGATCTTTGGTTCGAGGATAACGTCGCCGCTCTCGTGGCGCTGATTCGAGGGCAAAGTCGCTCCGAAGAACTGGGCCAGATGAGTGGTCGCGCGCGTCGTCTTGCAGCTGCTTTTGGGAGTTTGATCGCCAGCAAGGACAGTTAATCCCACGGCATCTCACGAGATGAAGACCGTTCCTGCAGGGCAAGTCCTTGGCATGGCTGGCATTTACGGATTCCTGTGAAGTGTACTGGTAGGAGTCAGGAGGTAGTGCTTTGGATTCTTTTGCGACAGCCCTAGCACCGTAAAAAGGTCCGCTGCTGATGTGAATCGAATATGCAGTTCATTCAGGTCTGCAGGCTTGGTGATGAAACATTGCTAGGTCCCACTCCACGGACGGACACTTTTGGCTCAAGAACCAAAATGGCTGACCCGAAATGGAGATGCCGCCACCCCATAAAAACCAAGCGTAGAGTTGCAATATTTGGATATTTGGATTGGTGCCCGCTGATCAATAAAGACCCCCTGATCAATAGAATGTCTGACTGGCTTGTCCAGTGTAGAATTCGAAGTGTTTTCACGACTGTCAGATTCCAGGCCCATATTGACTAGCGTGGCCCATATTGACTAGCTTTGTTTCTAGGGGCAGTTGTTTGTGGCGGTACTACTTTTGAAAAGCGGCGATACTGTGTTTGAATTGCTTTTGTGATCCATTTCCAGGAAAAAACAGTAGCTTCATGCAGGATAAGCATTTCTTTGGCGCAAATGACTTTGTGTGGCGGGGAGTACCCTGTTTGAACATGATTTACATCCAAGAATGATCACCAAACTGGACTCAAATATTTCGACCACATGGTCGGAGTCATATTTCGGACTGGCATGGCACACCCCCAGCCGGTCCCTAGTCACTCTCCTGGATCCCACCCATCTTCGCCAGATCAGACGGAAGCCTCTCCGCAACC